GTGGCCACTATGGGTTAATGTAGGGTGGGTAGATTTGGGGTATAGAGAGAATAATCAGTGTTGGCCTCAAATGTAGCCTAGAACAGAGAGGGGGCCACAGATGAATTAGCTTTTTTTATATACAGGAATATTCTCATATTTTTCACTTAGGTTCCAATCTGTGTTCTGATTGAGAAATTTGTTGAACTTATCCTCACATCCGCTGAGCTGCTGAGAGCAAGCGCACTTGTCCAACTAATCTGTGGTCAACTGCAGGTGGTGAGAGGAACTCTGCTGGCCCCCTACCTGCATCCCTGATATCAGAGGCCTCATAGGACACCAGGGCTGCCCTTAATTGCAGAGACAGTCAGCACTGGAAGGACTAGCGGGTCAGAAGCTGTGTCTGCTTCTCACAGGAGAGAAACGGCAGAACCCAACTTCCTGCAGAGAACCTGCCACAGTCAGCCCTTCACACGCGGCCCAATGGAGGTCTCAGCAACCCTGGCAGCGCTGCAGGCAGAGGTCTATTGTCCTGTCTGTCTGGGCTTCCTGACAGACCCCGTCACCATCCCGTGTGGCCATAACTTCTGTCGCTCGTGCATCCAGCAGTCCTGGAAGGATCTCCTGGACAGGTTCCCCTGCCCTGTCTGCCGCTACCCACAACAAGAGAGGCACTTCAGTGCCAACCTCCAGCTGGCCAGGATGATTGATTTGGCCAAGATGGTGCACAGCAGCAGCAGCCAGAGCAGGCAGCAAGAGAAGGTCCTGTGTGAGCGGCACAACCAGGTGCTGGGCCTCTTCTGTGAGGATGACCTGGAGGTGGTGTGTGGCCTGTGCACCTCTGACCACCAGGGTCACCTGGTGAGGCCCATGGAGGAGGCCGCCTCCCACCACAGGCAAAGGCTCAAAAGATACATGGAGACACTGAAGAAGCAGGTGGCAGATGTGGAGACACTAGTCACTATTCAAGACAGAAAACTAGTGGAGTTGAGAGAATATGTAGGACACCACAGGTGGAAACTAGCCTCAGAATTTGAGCACCTGAACCAGTTTGTAGAATGTAAGCAGGAGGCAGCCATGTCCAAGCTGGCTGAAGATGAGAGGGACATTCAGCAGAAATGCAGTGTCCACACAAGGGCTTTATCAGACCACATTTCCACCCTGAAAGGGCTACTCAAGGAGGTGGCAGAGAGGAGTGTGATGTCAGAGGTGAAATTGCTGAGGGATATCAAGAGCCTCCAGGTCAGGTGTCAAAGCCTGGAGGCCCCAGCTGTGAGCTCCTTCCAGTTAAGGTGGGAAGGCTTCAGTCTCCCTCCCCTGTATTCTGCTCTGCAAAAGATTATCCAGAGATTCAGGGAGGAAGTGACTCTGGATCCCCAGACAGCACACCCTAACCTGCTCGTGTCCGAGGATCACAAGTCTGTGACATTTGTGAGGAAAAGGCAGAAAGTGGCCCGGAATCCGCAGAGGTTCGTGGCTGAGACCGCGGTGCTGGGTGCTCAAGGCTTCCGGGGAGGCCGCCATTACTGGGAGGTGCAGGTGGGAGACAAGCCTGAGTGGGCCGTGGGGCTGTGTCCAGACTCCCCGTCCAGGAAGAGGCAGAGGCCCCTGGCAGGCCAGGGCACGCGCTGGACCCTTGGGCTGTGCGCTGGGGCCTATGTGGCAGTGGGCCGCGTGTCTGTGCCTCTGGCTCTGAAGGAGAAGCCCAGAGGGGTCGGCATTTACCTGGACTATGAGCTGGGCCAGATTTCCTTTTACAGCGCGCACGACAGGTCCCACATCCACTCCTTCAGGGAGACGTTTTCTCAAGTGCTCAAGCCTTACTTCTGTGTGGGTCGGGATTCTCAGCCCCTCACAGTCTGCCCAGGAAGACATGATGAAGACTGAAGTGGGACTCTGCTCCATTTTCTTCTGTCATTTATGGATAACAAGTAGATTGTACAACTGTCAGTGAGCGTAGGATTGAATTTTTACATTACTCATTTGACTTAAACGCAACTTCTAAAATTTTGTTCTTCATTTATCCTTTGGGTTTCACTAGCAGCAAATAAAATGCGAGAAGCAATACACATGGGAATAACTCTAACGAGTAGCTGGATTTAAGATTAGTTTGTATAGGTTGTAATTTCACACCAATAAATTTTTTTTTCCATTTGCTATTTTGTGTCAATTTCGACCTATTGATATGACAAATGAATTGACCCTTAGAGTTCTTATGATCATGAGATGCTCTTCAGCAATCACCACCAGATAAATTTGTTAATGATGAATATTTATTACTTACAAGACCTGGAAATTGCACCCACACCTGGGTCACAGTGAGGTCACCTAGAGAGAGAGAGAGAACATGGGTTTGGGGTCCTGCTTTTATTTGGACTGAGGGTAAGAGGTTTAGGATTTTGTAGTTTCACTCTTTTACTTGTACATTTAAATCGTAAGTCAAGAATTTATAGTGGGAGAAGAGAAAAGAATGAAAAATGAAAGACAGCTGTATCTGACCTGTTCTATAAATCAACCAGTAATCTGTAAAACAAAAGGAGCTGCTGGGGGAGGTGGGGGAGGGGCTGACTGTTATACAGGGTGTGACTGAGTGAGTCAGCCCTCTTTGAAGTGGATGTCAGCTCTGGGAACTTCTAATGCATTTACGTATTTACATTGACATATATTACAAATTTTGTGTACCATCTACGACGTGCTTCTACACCCCATGACTGAATATATTCTGAGGGGTTGAGAAGACAGAATTTGGGGTAGAATATTTTCAGGGCTCTCATCTTAGTGCATGTGATACAGGCGCTTAAGCTCCCAATTAGTTTGTAGGATGTTTTTGTGGGGAAGGGCCCTAGAAGATAGAGAGGTTGTCTCCATAGACATGCTTAGGTCTCCTCTCCCCAATTTCCCCACATCTTGGAATCCCAATGAGAAAGCCCAGGTACCACCTCCTTTGGTTTTTTTTTTTTGTTTGTTTGTTTTTAGATTTATTTATGCATACTGAGGTAGGCTAGAGATGCAGGGGGTAAGAGGATTCACCAGAGACAGAGTGGGGAGCAGAACAGGCAGACTGACGAAAGTACACTGCTGAGGGGAATAGCGGGCAAGACAGGAGAGGTCTGTGCCCTGTGGGTCAGCTCCCTGGCTGGCTGGGGATTGAACTCACGCTGCAGTGACTGGAAATAGCTTGATAGTGCTGTCTTTTTTTTTTTTTTTAAGATTTTATTTATGCATACAAGAACTGGGGTACAGGCCAGAGGTGTGGGGGGTGAGAGGATTCACCAGAGGCAGAGTGGGGAGCACAACAGGCAGATTGACTGGAATACACTGCTGAGGGGAGCAGCGGGTGAGTCAGGAGAGGTCTGCGCGCCATGTGGGTAGCTCCCTGGCAGGGGATCAAACTCGTGCTGCAGTGGCTGCGAACAGCTTCATAGGTTGTGTCTTAACCCCTTGCGCCACCGGACAGGCCTGATAGTGCTGTCTTTAACCCTGGTGCTGTTATGGGGCAACCCCGATATAAAATGGGTTGCCTGGCTGTCACCCGCGCGCTTAAAAGGGACTTACTAATTTTGTTAGTGGGAAAAGGATGTCCTAAAGCTAATTCCATACAGGCTTGTGGACTCCACCCCCCCAACAGTGCCACCAGGGAGGCCGGAGGTGAGATGTTTAAAGCAGCTAGCTGCTAGTTGTGCTAGACCCTCACCCACCCCACCTAACAATCACACAAACACCAAGTTACTTTCCTTTTCCTGCTCTCTCATTTTGAACCTACTGGGGTAACCACCTTGTTCTCCCAATACAACCCCTTAACACCATACCAAATTTTGAGCAGGGTTCCAAAATGATTATACATCCTGGTGTTAGCATGAGGTGTCCTAAACCAGCCTGTGGAAATGCTGTCTGACTCCTTCAGGGGATTTCTCCTGTTTATACCTGGCTCTTCTGACCAAAGCAAGTGTGCAGTTTGAGCATTAATGCTTTATCTTAAATGGTTTTAAACTTTTTATATGCCTATAATAATCTATATTTGAAAAAGTATAGACTTGTATTCAATGAGATGTCTCTGACTATATAAAGGAGTTATTTAACAAGAAAATAAGTTAGAAATTCGCTAAAATATCCAATTTAAATAACATAATACTTTTCATAAAACATCTTTGCATGTACTTGTGTGTATCTAACTACAGTGCTTTAGATAAGTACCTTCCATTCCAAAAATACCATGAGTAGACTTTGAGAGACAAACTCTACCATGCCAGCATTTCTACTTCAAATTCTTTATAAGTTTATCTTGATCTTTTATTTTCGCTAAATAAGGACTAATGGTTTATGGCTTTTCCCATGCTACAATGTTTACAAAATATTTTTAGTCAAACTATAGTTTCGTAAATTTCATATCTGGATGAACTTGCAGTAAAATAATAAAACATTCTGGCACAGAGCTATCATTAAATCAATACAAATTCAGAGCATCTTTAACAACTTGGAAACACCTAATTATCAGTATAATTCAGATTGAGACAGGAGAGATTCTTTTTGAGTTATCACATTCTTAAATCCTTTTTTGATTTTTTATTTACATCTTTCACCACCACAAACTGAACAGCATACAGATCAGAGTCTAGCAAAGTGATCAGCATTCACGTTGGTTAGCAACATTGCCCTGCTTGGGCTTCGAAGGCATACATGTATTTCATTTTATTATTTTTTATATATCCAGACGGGCATGTTTATTACATAAAAAAGGAAATGAAAAGAATGAAAAGGACATTTGCACAGGCACAAGGAACAGGTTTGTGAAAAGAGACACCTGCATAGCCATAGGCAGGCAAGAGAGCTGCCCGTAAGAGTATTTTAAACGTTAACATCCAGTGGGCCTTTCTAAGGAATTATCTGTACAAATGACTGAAGAACATAAAACAGAACTTCAAAAGAGATCAAATTTTGGTTTCTTATAATTATGTGATAAGAAGATTCAGAAATGAACATTTCAGTTTTAAAATAAAATGAACTACAATTAGTATTTCAAACTTTCTTTTATAATTTTAAATGAATATTATTCAAACTAAAAAATAGGTTCATAAACACTAAAGGCTCTCATATAAAATTGGTAGCAATTAATAATTTTTTCTTAGACTTCCTACGTAAATAATCAATTCAGTCAAACATTTACAAAGTTATTTTGATACTTTTTTTGTAAAGATTTGTTTATTTATTTATACAAGAACCGGGGTACAGACCAGATGTGCGGGAGGGTGAGAGGATTCACCAGAGACAAAGTGGAGAACAGAACAGGCAGACTGACGAAATACACTGCTAAGGGGAGCAGCGGGCAGCAGGAGAGGTCTGCATGCCATGTGGGACCCTCGCAGGCTGGCCGGGATCGAACTGGCGCTGCAGAGGCTGTGGACAGCTTCACAACGCGGCGCTCAACCACCTGTGCCACCAGGGGAGGCCCTATTTTGATACTTTTGGAGAATTATAAGATATGAAAGAAAAATTTCAGTTCTTGCACTTTTTATTATTAAGAGTTCTAAACATTAAAAAGTATTTTTCTTTTAACTCATGTAAAAATAATTATGTGTAGAAAAAAGATATTTTTGTTATACAGGCAAATAATTGTGCTTCAGAGTGAAATTGCTTTTAAATTTATGTTATTTTCCTTTAAAGAGAACCAGAAAGAAGAGACTCCTGTGAAACTAATAAACCATCCTAGGTGCTTTCGGATGATTCCTTTTGTACAGGAGCTTCTATGAAATCACACTCTCCTGCGGGTGAGTAGTGTCTTTCTTTTACTCCTCTTCTGGCAGACTTGGTGAAGTTGGTTAGAGAAGATCTAAATTTGGAGGGAAAGGAGAAAGAAATTCATCATAATAAGAAATGCCACCCAGCAGACCAATTGACCCATTCTTAATTTTTTTAATAGACAATGAACTTATGAAATGTACCAACTTTTTTTCAGTATAAAAAATAACATAGCACCTATAAGTCTTCAAAAACCTGTATTAATGAATTAAAGAAATCTTTATATTAAATTATTTTTCATCTAATAATCTAAATTTCCTCAGTGACTCACATTACCAGCCTCAACTTTTTTTTTTTACTATTTTGGATTTTGGCTCATGATATATATACCAGAGCTAAAGCAGTTATTTGGAGCTGCCAAAGGAAAAGATGTCAGAACCAAGGTGCTAAGTATTTTATTTAACAAACAGTATGGTCCTTAAGAATCTTTAAATGCTCTGAAACTATTTAAATAATTAGTATTTAACAATGAATTTTAAATAGATGGCAGGGTAAAATATAACTAATTTTTATTTAAGAGAAAAATGTATTTTTTACAGGATAATTACACCAAGCTTTCCCTAGGCTATTGGTTTTGACCCTATCCTGAAATCATAAAGAAAGTCCCTTATTCTGGAAGCTTCTACCTCCTTCAGATTTCTTGTTCCTGACAGTCATTCTGGGTTTAACTAATGTAGCAGTGAAAAGATGCAAGTGCTTCTGCTGGGAATCATCTCGCAGTTGAGATGGCCCAAGTTCAACAGATTGGCAAAGAGTAAAAGTGTTGATAACACCCAGTGTTGGTAAGAGTCTGAGGAACAGGTATTCTCATGACTTTCTATTGAAAATGTCAAGGGTGCTTGAAATATGAAGTCTGGAGGGCACTTAAAAAATGATGATGTGAGGAGTGCGGTGGACTCTTTTCTCAGTGAAGCAGCCACTGCTGGTGAAAATTATTCAAAAAAAAGAAAGAAAAGAAAAGTAATTTAAAGTGGAAGGGATTCCTCACTATGGAATACTATACAGCCATGAGTAAAGATGAAATGCAGCAATGGAGGAAGTTTGAGGGAATTCTTTGTGATAAAGCAAGTCAGAATGACAAAGACAAATGATGGAAATGTGTATAGCAAAGAAGGATCTGACAAAGTAAAATACACACACAAATTAACGAAAATTAATAAACACCTTGAGAATGCTGAGGTTAAGAGGGAGGTTACTGGGAGGAAGGGCAAGGGACATAAAGGTGGGTGGTAGTGGGAGAAAAAAGAAAAAGGATGCAGAATTATTCTTGATACTAAAACCAGATGTTTCCCTCAGGGATCCTTGTAGATGGGACACGATGTTAAAAAAAAAATTAAGAAAGTGAAAAGATAATCCATAGAATGGAAAAAAGTATTTGCAAATCATATATCTGTATATATTTTGTATATATGTAAATGTCTTACTATTAGAGAAAAAATGAAGAGTAGTATAAAATTGAAAGCTCTAACACAATTTCCACATAAATACAATGTGAAGAACTCCAGAGTCCACTCCTAAAGTTGCTTGAGCAAGTACAGTGAGCAAAGGCGTATGTGCAGCACACACACATTATACACACACATTATACACACACGTAAAGTGACATTTAATCAAAATTTTGATTAAGTGGGAAAAGCCAGATGAAGAGAAGAGAAAGCCCAGCCTAGATCCAAGGTACATAAAATAACATGAGAAAGCTCTGAAATGGAAAAGAACAGGACATATTTGATTAACTCACAGATAGTCACAGTGAGTCAGAGTTGGAGAGAGAAATACCTGATTGTGTGCAGTTCTCTGGAGTACTTTAACTTTATTTTAATCTAAGAGTAATCTGAAATCACTAAAAGGTCCAAAGCAGAACTGGAGATGAAGTAAGTGTGGAGCGGGGAGGTTGAACAAAAATGAACATTTGTCAAGCCACATATTAAAATAGACCTCGACCCACGAACTGCAACAATCAGTCCAGGAAGCAAAATCATGACCTCTGCTGCCAGTGACCTGAAATGGTCAGTACTTTGTCAGTAAGCACTAGCTTCCCTAATATTTTCCCTCCCTTCCTCCTGATTCCAATTCAAGACTAACCCAACAGAGGCTCATTTGCTCCCCAAACCAATCTCACAGGAAGGTCTACTTCCTAGGCAGCCAGTCTCCAGCATTGCCACACCAACCACCTCCAATCAGGTGATGGTTGTTGACACCCTTGCTATGGCAGCTCTGAGGTTAGCTAAGGTGTTGAAGTCACCTTGTGAGATATAAAAATATAAAATACTGTGTTATATATGTACTATGATAAGGTAATATTCCATATTATTTTATATGTAGTATAAGGTACTTATAACATTCACCAAAATACTAACAGAGATGAAAAGGAGGGGGCAGATTTAAAAAAAAAACAAACCAAAAACACTAAGTTAAGTAGAAATAATAGACCTGGAAAAATAACAGGAACTAAATATTAGGGCAATGTGCTCATTAATTTACATGGAAAGAGTAACATGTATCATTCACAGCACATTGCCTGATCCATACTGAATATCTAATACACAATAGCCTTATTCTCCAAATTTTTAGAAGACAGGAGAAATATCTGAATAAGAATTGAAGAATTTGCTTTTAAGTATTCACTCATTCATCAAATATATGCAGAAAGTTTAGTAGAGTCACTGAATATGATGACTATGATATTCAAAGTAAAATCCCTGTTTTCATGGAACTTACATTGTAATGAACAAAGGCAGATCCTAAATGGGTAACAATAGTATGTCAGAGGGTAATCGGTATCTCGGAGAAAAACAAACCAGGAAAAGGAAAATAGAGGGTATCTTGGGGAGGATGAAGCATTGCTTTTTTTTTTTTTTTAGATTGTATTTTGGTATTACATTTTTATAATAAAAGATCAAGAGATACTTTTGATGACATCTATGAAACTGGAACAGTCTAATGGAATTATAGGAATAAGCAGTGTTTACAGAGCTTCCTGCGTGCACTTCAGACAAGAGCTTGAAGTGTCTGTAGGACAGCTTAGGCAATTTCAAGTACATATTTGAATGCCTTTTCTAAGTCCTAAAAGGATAGTGATTTGTTCCAGAGATAGTCAGAAGGGAGTATGGTGTCATTGAATCTAAGGAAAAAATCCATGCTACCATTTGACCTATAGCCACATAACTGAGATCAGGGCCAACACCTGTTCACTGAATTGAGGAGAAAAGTCATTAGAGACCTTTCCCAGAATGCACTGGGGCCAGTATGCTGAAAACAGGTGGGAAGAAAGGAAACAGCCACCTTTTTAAGAAAAGTGGCACCGTGGAGAAGACATGGCTGGTTACTGGTGAGCAGTATGAGGTCAATGGTGCATCTTTTTTTTCTTTTTAAGGCAGAAGAGATCAGTTTGCACATATTGAACATCTTGAGAAAGAAAGGAAATAATTCATTGTTGGATCAAGGTCATTGAGGTGTAGATATTTACAAAGCCCAAGAGAGTATTCCCTTAAATAGGAAGGGAAAACAGAAGAGTTGTAGGTATCAGTGTTTATAGTTTGAGGCAGGGTCAGATTTTGAAACCTGAGTGCCATTGTCTCTGGGAAGAATTTTCTCTGTTTTTTGTTTTTTTAAAGATTTATTTATTATCTCTGTTTTTTGTTTTTTTTTAAAGATTTATTTATTTATGCATACAAGAACTGGGGTATAAGCCAGAGGTGGGGGGGGTGGTAAGAGGAGTCACCAGAGAGAGTGGGGAGCAGAAAAGGCAGATCTGCTGAAATACACTGCTGAGGGGAGCAGTGGGTGAGACCAAAGAGGTCTGCTGTGCCGTGTGGGTTGCTCCCTTGCTGGTCTGGGACCAAACTCTTGCTGCCCAGGAAATTGCTGTGAGTTGGGAAAGAAGGCTTAAATGCCTCAGGAAACGAGGTTTTTAAAGATTTGAAATACAGCTGAATGAGAATCAGAGGTATCTAAAGGTAAGCAGAAGAAGTCAAGCTGGAGATGAAGTGCCTGGTTAAAGGGAGTTGCTGAATGCAAAGCTGGTTTTCATTTAAGCCAAAAAGGCAGAACAATGTGAGGTGGCTCAAGACAATAGGCCAGTGGCAGAAAGAGTTGGGAGACAGGGTAGGGGTTTTATCAAGGAGGTCATAAGTCCATGACTTTGAAGTGGATTAGAATAGGGCAGATAACAGAGAACTGGAAGCACTTACAATTTGAATGGAAATCAAGGGTGACAAGGGACTATTAGATAGCCTCAATTTAACCAAAATCTTTTCACTGCCATTACTTCTGGGATGTGAAAAACGGGTAATAGGGGAGGTAGAAGGCTTACTTTTGACCTTGTATTCGTCTATACTGTTAGAAAAAAATTTACACCATGAAAATGTACTATAATTATTATTAAAAGCTAAGTCAAGTATGTATTAACAAGGTATATAATCGTCTAGATTATGCATTTTTAAAGAAAAACGCTGATCTAGTAAGATTTTAATGTTGCAAGTGGAAAATTGTTAGCATCGAAAACCCCTACCTCCTTTCCACTATAAAACTCTCACATTCACCTGTAAGCTTCCCTTCCCTGACAACCTTCTCTTGTTTTCATCTACGCTAAATTCACTTAAGACTAAAGGAGATGCCAATTATATTTCTGAGAAAAATATATATCATTAAGATAACTTTTAGACAGTGTAGATTTTTCTATTTAACTAATTCAATTACACAGGTCAAAAAAATCTCCCTGAGGATTGTTAAGAACTCCAGGAGCTGGAAAAATTAACAGAATCAAGATGATAGTGTGTTCCTATTAAGTAAGCTAAAGATCTGAACTAAGCTAAAGGGTTAATCTGGAAAACTTCCAAAGTCAATTGTTTACCTTGCCTATCCTTTTACAGACTTACTTGACCCCAACTGAATCAAATCACCACATGTGATTTTATCTAAAGCATGCTGAAAACAGAAGGGGATGAATGAAAGGGAGGTTCTGCCTGAGAGTTTGTAGGTCTGCAGTGCCTTTCCCCTGTTGTTAAGGTGTTTTTTTGCAAGGTATATAAAAAAGTGCAAGTATTTAAGACAGTGAAAATTATGCTATAAAATGTGCAGGTAGCCCTTGTTATTATAGCCCTGGGTGAGCAAGATCTTGAGAAATTACCTTATTGTTTATTCTTGCATTGACTCATATGCTTGCTGGATATTAGTGTGTGACTTTTACACATTCTTCCTAAAACTGTAGCTGGAATGTTCGGTTATTCTAAAACTCAGAAAAATAGGTGCTGTAACCTGAGCAGTTCTTAAAAGGGATCAGCCAAATTTTGTAAAGGATTGCTATGATTAAATAGTTTATATAGTTTTTATTTAAATGTCCCTGTGGTTTACAAATTTGGTTTATAGGTCAAAATTTTTCCTTAACTTTGACAATTCAAATGTCATTACTTTTCTTGTTTACTTGCAACCCTAAGTTTTATGGCAGGTGGTTTGTGGAGAAAGCCAATACAACTCTGTGTGGCTAACCAAGAGCTGTTATTTGCATTATGCAAGTATCTTTCTCTGTATACACAGGAATTCCCTTGCTACTGTGAAATGCCTCCTCTCTTCTTTGTTATTTGTGGAGGAGCGCTGGGAAAATCTTGAACTTCTCCACTCCTCTTCAGTGCAGATTTTCCCATTATTTGTATGTAAGACAAATGCATGATCAACACTTACCAAAGGATCTTTTAATGTATAAAATTCTTTCAAAGCAAATTTTAGCCCCCATTAATTGGTTTCTTGGGGATTTCTTGTTCTATCTTTCTGGATTCTTCCACTAAGCCTATTTTTCATAATTTGATAGCAAAGAAAAATTTGTTACAGATACAGGCACAGAGACCATGGCTTTTTGTCTTAGTCTTCTAGATAAATGCTTATTACAGAATTGTTCTTTTTTCCTTGAATATCCAACTACAGGGCTTTCACGGCCTTGAAAAGCTCATATTACACAATGGACATAGCAACCATTCTTTCCTCTGAATGAATAGTGTCATAAATGCTACAATCTATAAACCAATTGAATAAGCCAATTTAGCAATTGCCTGTGTGTGTTAACCTAATAAAGGATATTTCTAGGCATTTCTTTCCAAGGGAGATATGTTTTATATGAATTAAATAACTGAAAATAATTACAATAGAATGCCAAATTATTTGTTTTATAGCAAGAAGAAACAAATTTAGTGTTTGAAGTTAAATGATCAGGAGTATTACCGGTGATACTAGTCATGTAAAATCACTGGCATTTATGTGAGTGATTTAAAAAAAAGGTAGGGGAGGAAAAAAAATTTTTTTTCATTAAGAGTGTAAGAACAAAATGCTATTCAGATTTTATCTTTAAAGATGCAACCATCAAGAACAGTTTTGTGAGTGAGAATGGAAAGCTGGCCTGCCAGTAATACTGGTTGACTTTATGCATTAAAGGAACAATATCCTAGGGGAAATGAACTACGAAGTTGTGTTATTGGGCCAATATGTCCAAATGCTTTCAAGTGCAAAATAGTCTTAATGGCAAATGTGCTTGTTCTGGACAACATGGGGAACTATTCTGTGTTTTTCTTTTTTTGTCTTTTTTAAAAAAGTATTTTCTATTAAGTGTTTTTCAAAACTCAATGCTTTTATAATTAGATTCTCTTGGTGTCTGATAATAATAATGAGAATTATGAGAATTCTCAAATGTACGCAATTGCATTAATTCCCATATAACTATCACTCAGATTCCACAATCACCATCATTTTCCTATCTTTTCCTCTCTTCCCTATTAAGCTATGAAAGCAATTTGCAAACATATCATCTCGCTGTTTCATTTGTTAGAATCCTCTTAAACTGACATCATGGTAGAGTCATTATCACATATTACAAACATGAATAAACATTCTTTGGTGTATCTAATCTGGGACCTTGCCTAAATGGAGTGGAGCTGTTTCCTATCAGAAATACCTCAGGGGAAGGGCACTCGTGAATGGAGAGGCATACATCTCCTCTGAAGGCAGTTGTGTCTGTGCAGTTTTCTTCTCATTACCAAATTAGCTGAGGGAAAAAAAAAGGAAAAAAAAATTAGGAGCAGTTTCTAGAAAATTCTTGTTTAATCTGGAAAATACATGGAAATATTTTCAATCCAAACCATACTGTGATGATTTGCTATTTGTTCTCGTGGGACTGTGATATAAAAAAACCAACGTGGTGCTGGTACCCCAGGTGTCTCCCTAACAGTCTGAACCAACAGCGGATCCAACAGCAACAACCTCTTCCTTCTACATGACTTCTAAATGCTCTTAGACCTGGTGTTTTAGGTAGTGCATTCATCACAAATATTTTGCAAGAACATTGTCCAAGGTGTTCTATGTTTCAGAAAAGCAGAAATGGTTTGAAGAATAGCAATTGCTGTACACAATAAAAAGGGGTCAGATGCTTTCTGAGTTGTTGATTTCCAACTTTTTTATTTTTGTAAAAGGGCAAGCAAGCTAGGGAAGTAATTGAAGTAGCCTCAGTGATCAAACTTCTAATTAACTAAAAGACAGTGACTGAATTTTTAACCAATTATGCATCATATTCTGTCCCAAATGTAAAATATATATCACATAAGTAATGGAACACCTTGGGATATATACATATACTGTCACTTTTTAATTGAAATTTTGGTTTGCTTTCTCCTAAATCAGAAAACTCTTATTTTTTTTTACTTGCCAATGCTTTGAAATCTTATTCTGTTTTGAAATAAAAGCAGACTAAAATAATTCCACTTACCAGATTCCCACTGATTTAAAAACAATACAACTTGAAGAATGTGTCAGTTAAGTTACTATTATTTATCTGGACCATAAATATTTTTGACACTTCTTGACTTTATAAGCAAAATAATTCTAATTTTTTTTTTATTTAAGGGGATACATCTAATTATATAACTGGAAATAATAGCTATTGACCTGTTTTAAGATTTCCTCTGCACTTTGCCACATTCCGATTTGTATGTTACTCAGTGAACAGTGCTTACTCCATCCAGCACCACGCTCCTTCCATAAACTGCTTCGGATTTTGCATTTTACCTAAAAATTTGCTTGTTTACCTCTGTAACATACACCAAGCATTTCCATTTCTTCTTACTTAGAAAGACAACATCTTTACAATAACTTAGGGATCAATTTTCTCTGAATTTAGAAAAATAGTGGGGAAATATTTATCAGCATTTTAAATTATTTTTAAAAGATACCCAAGTAACAGACCTAACAGAAAAGATAGCATATTTCTGAAATCCTACACATTTATCCTGAATAGACCAAAGCCCATCTAAGTGATTTTCCACATCGACACAATCCCATCCAGAGGACCACGGATGTAAACAGACGTAAAGAAAAGTTACTCGTGGAAATGTATCCAAGTCCTACCTGGTCTCTGTCCGTCGCTAAGAAGAAGACTCATCATAAAAAGTAAAAATACAAAAAAGAATTGTTGCATTCTCATTTTTCTGCCACTCTCAAGTCGAGCAGTAGCTCTCCAAGTAAACCAATCCTTGACTGGTCTGTGCAATATCTGTGTGGCTCCCTCACATTCTAATGACAAACTTCGGAGAACTGCCAGCTGCGCTTTCCAGAAAGGTTAATGATCACATCACACAAGGTTACTGGTGCGCAGTGCTGTGGTGAGAGCCTCCCTCTGCTTCTAACCCCTCCTCCACTCCTCTCCTCCCGCCCCCATCCCATCACTCCTCTCTATTTCCATAAGCAAATATTGGTGAAATAAACCATTCAAGCGTGCTGCAACTTCAGTGCAAGTCTAGCCTGGAAGCTCCTAGCGGAGACTGACTTAAATTCACTCTGGATATGGGGAAATATGTAAAACAAGCCAAGGCTTTGCCTTCTCCTCTCACCATTTGCATCTGTTTAAACTCTGCATTGCCCATATTGGTGCCACATGCAGAAACCGATGGAAATGACAGGAAGTCTCTCTTTTGTCCTTTTCAGAAGGATTTCTGAAGCTCTGACTTAAGACTCCCGAATGCTTTGCGGCAGAACACGTGCAGAAATGCTTTCGCTCTGCCAAACCTCCTGCAAAGAGGTGGCTATTTACCCTAAATCTCTAAACTGCTTAATCTACGTGGTCTATATCAATAAACATTCCAGAGGTTTAGAATCTTCTTAAGTAAATCTGAAAAGGCTTTATGTTTTTATTTTGTAAAATGCAATTTAAAAAGTAATGGAGTAACACATTTTCATCTGCAATATGTCCAGGATTTTAAAAGTGGAAGTTCAGGCTAGCCACAAACTCATGAAATCTGTGTTCTGTTAAAAAATTTATTTGTGGTGGAATACCAGGCTAACATATCACAGGCGCAGAAATTAGAGATGGAGAGAGAGCTGCTCAGTTCATCTCCCAGTGGATATAGAAGACATGGGAACAGACTTTTGCTGCCTTTTGCACACATGCATTAAGATTTCTTTAAGTTTAAGTGCTTCCTTGTCTGTCATATGTAGCTCTCCTAAATGGAAATGACTGTACTTAGTATGAAGAAAACCAAAATAACAGTGTAGATACCCTCTGAAATACAAGTAGAGCCAAAATACCAAATCGGAAGCATATGCCACTTGTTATAAATTGCCAGGGATTTTGTTGCGTTTGGCTTCTCTAGATTCAGGTAATTGGTACAACATCCTTGAGGTTTGAAATTAATGCATACCTTTTCTCTGTCTTACAAGACAGTCTGTAAAGTCCCCAGCCTGCTTAGTTATGCTTTGTGCGGGACATTTATTTCACATACTGAAATTCTTAAAATCACCTTAACTTACAAAGAATGTTTGCCTGTTTGGGGATTGGAAGCATAAAGAATTCCAAGTTGTGGGACTGTCTTTGTACATCGCTCCCTATCAATTGACTACAATAGAGTCTGAACTAAGAATATAAAAACTCCATGAATGGCAAAAGATTTGTTCAGATTTTTGCTTCCCCTGCAAGCATCTTTGTATAGCATGCTGGAATAAAAAGCAAGCTAACAAAGTTGAGTGTTAAGCCAAGCAAAGCAACAGGAGCCCTATCAGATATTGGCAATATAACTTCAGGCTAGGTTTTATTTATTTATTTATTTTAAAGATTTATTTTTTATGCATACAAAAACTGGGGTGTAGGCTAGAGGTGTGGGGGGTGAGAGGACTCACCAGAGACAGAGTGGGGAGCAGAGCAGGTGAAGTCTGCTGCTTCATGTGGGTTAGCTCCCTGACCAGGGATCAAACTCATGCCATAGTGGCTGGTGATAGCTTGGTAGCAGTGAGACTTTAAGCCCTGTGCTACCAGGGAGGCCCCCATTCAGGCTAAGTTTTAAATCTATTGGAAGGTTTAGTAGAACTCCTAGAGTATAGCTAATGTAAGTAAATACATGGAAGATACAGTTATATGACATCTCCACCAATCAGAAAATAGCAAAGCACCACACCTAGGTTCTGTAACCCCTTTGAACATCAATTTTTATCAGTTTCAAAAATTCAAGGTAAAATATGTGACTTTCCACCTGAAAGAGTAATAAAGTCTTAGCAAGATAATGTATTTCACTATGAAACTAAGACATTATTTTAAAATTATTCTTTCCAAAAATAACTTAAGGGACATGAGGATGATGTTTAAGCAATTGCTTTTTGGAGGCCAGTAAGAAAGTGTTAAAAAAAAAAAAAGAAATCATGGACAAACTGAAATGCTAGATGTTGAAGGACAATGCCAAGTAATCTACCATCTCTATGGAATGTGGGTCAACAATGGGGTAAAACATTCCTGTTAATATTGAACAACCAGGTTGGGAGAAATCTCAGTGGCAAAGTGGTTACTTTGCAAGTGACCCTGCAAACGGGGCTTTTAACCTGCCAGTAGATGAAAATCATGAATCCTCTTTGTTTATGTAAACAGAACGCCCTGCTTCTACCAACTTACAGGTCTGCCTTCTTTGAGAGGCCCAAGCCCTCAGGAACCATGCTAGTGCTTACTACCTTAGTTCACTTAATCCTCCCCCAGGGAGAGGGAAGGGGACAGTAAAGTTAAAGGGGAGACCAGACTATGGTGGAGGATTATCGGTGCTTTGGTGGTGGGTGTGTTGTGGTAACATACCTGAACAGGTGTGAATCTATAGCTATTAATCATATACAGTGTTGTAAACCACATTTATCATTAAAAAAAAAAACTAACTATAAAAAATCATCCCCTCCCTAAATATTCGAAGTCTATCCCTGTTTATCAGATAAGAAAACTAACAAAAAAGGGTGCAGCCTGCTGCCTATGTAACTGGAAAGAGGAATAGCTAGAATTCAAATTCCATGACCTGATGTAGGATAAATGAAGTTGATCAGTGGCTTTTACGCCATTGGCCTCTGTGGCTATCACCTATGGCCTTGATCTCAATGTAGAAGGCATGTGAGTGTGGGCACGTGTGCCTGGTGATGGACACCTGGGCATGGGTGTATACGCGTGTGCAAGTGTGCACACCTGAACCTAGGTGGGAGGGGATAAAAGGCAGTGTCAGCCTTGGGGAGGATGGCTCAAGTTGCTGTCTCCCTGATGGCTTGTTTCCCCTGCTTACCATTAAAACCTGTGGAGATGATGCTAAGGGCTCCAAGATTCTCCTTCAAATCGCTAAACCTGGCCTCCCTGGTGGCACAGCAGGTTGAGCGCCGTGCTGTGAAGCTGTCCGCAGCCTCTGCAGCGCCGGTTCAATTCCTGGCCAGCCAGGGAGAAACCCACATGGTGCGGCAGACCTCTCCTGACTTGTCCGCTGCTCCCCTCAGCAGTGTCTTTGGTTCTTCTGCCTGTCTGCTCCCCACTCTGTCTCTGGTGAATTCTCTCACCCTCCCACGCCTCTGACCTGTACCCTAGTTCTTGTATAAATAAAAATAAATCTTAAAAAAAAAAAATCACTAGACCTGATGGAGAACCTACGTGGGCTGGGATGGTTGCAAAACACCTCATGCCAAATCCTCATGCATTTAATAATAGCCTACTGAAGTTTTAAAATAAGGATAGTTAGGAAAATACTTCCTACATCTCTTTGGGGAGATATATCCCCCCCGAATTTCATGTCAACCCAAAAATTCAGAATATGAATTTGGAAATACGGTTTTTGCAGATATATGGCTTTTCCTGCTATGTCAAAGTAGTTTTCCTTTGAAATATTCCATAAGCCAATGTGGTACAATTATCATTAACTTATATTTTAAATTTTTTCACATTCTCAGACATAAAACATAATCTACTTTGTCATACCAAATAACACATAAAACAAACAAACAAAAACCCCACTATAATAAAAGCAGGAATACTATGATAAATCGATATCTGTATAAAGTAGTTCCCAGGGAGGGAACTTGCTGGGGTGCCTCTCATTGTTTTGGGTGCAAAACAAATGCTGACTGCTCTTTTTATCCTTCCTTCCTTCCTTCTTCCTTTCCTTTCCTTCCTTCCTTCCTTCCTTCTTTCTTTCAATTTATTTATTTATACAAGCACTGGGTACAGTCAGAAGTGTGGGAGGGTGAGAGGATTCACCAGAGCCAGAGCAGGGAACAGAATAGGCAGAAGGACCAAGTTACACTGTTGAGGGGAGCAGCGGGCGGCAGGAGAGGTCTGCGTGCCATGTGGGACCCTCGCCGGAGGCCGGGGATCGAACCGTCACTGCAGAGGCTGCGGGCGTCTTTGCAGCCCAGTGCTCAACCGCTGCACCACCAGGGGAGGCCCTCTTTTTATTTTTCACCTTTTGTCATGAAAGCAAAAATCCTGTTCATATTTCTTTCAGATAGCAAAACCAGGTAGTAATGTAGGTCTTTGGAAAAAGCAAATTAGTATAAGGTGAACTTTCAGAAAATAGAGCATACCTGTAGTTAAAGTTTGGGTCATACTGGAGTACAGTAGGCTCCATGGGGTTGGACCCCCAAAATGTTCAGACAGTCTTTTTCTAAGATGCCCAGAGCAGACCTTTTCCAGCATGTGTCCCCTTGCCATGGGGAACTAATATGTTAATCCAGGCTGTGTCAGCCTCAGGAGAAAATGTTACCATTACTTAGAGAATGCAGATTACTTAGATTTAGGGACATGTCCAGAAACAACCTTTTTTATTGGAGAAACCTATGTTAAGGTGGGGCAAACATGTAGAGGCAAGTTTTGTCATGTTGTAACCAGTGGCTGAAGCCAAAAGGATGTTACAGGTGGTGTCTTGTGGAGGAGGTTGGTGGTGAGGGTAGAGAGCCGCAGGAAAAATGTTGAAAAGTATCACATTTGGGGGTGGGGCGACTGATAAGTAATATAAGGGACTGTAGATGGTGGCAGATTTTGGTTTTGGAATTTACCGTTTTTTGGATATTTAGCATTTGGGGTCAAAGGATTTTGGCCCCCACCACACTGATCTGTCAGAAGACAGCTGTGGACCTTTGAAGGTGGAGGCCTCAGCAGCCAACCTCAGAGAGGAAAAGTTTGGCGGCTTTGCAAGCAGCCGAGCCACTGAAACTCTTCCTGGTTTTGCTGCGGTTACAGCCTGGCAGGGAAGGCAAAGGACTGAACCAGGCGCCTCACTGTGTTGCGTGAGTGTGGCCGTTTGTCGGGTCGTTGAGCTGCTGCAACTGTGTCTTCAGTGTCGCTTGTCTGGTGCTGTACCGGGGTGTCCTGGCAGCCCTGGGAACATCTCCTGTTGCGTCTTCTGC